AAATCGGTTCAGATTTAGATAAATCTTCTATATCTGACCAAATGAAAAAATTAGTATCGGTTGCAGAATGACATATTTATGGATTCAATTTAATTTTGCTGGTCCTTTAAAAATGCGACTTCTGTTAGGATTCATCTGTTGAATATACCCAAAGTGGTGAAGGGTATCATATAGTCGGTCCCGCCCGAGTTTTCTCATTTAGTACTTGTTAAAAACATATTTTCTGACCACTTTTTTAACGGTCTCTTTCCTTCTGTTCCTCTTATTTTCAACTTTCTTTAAACAATTTAATTCTCCCTAATAATTATTAAGTGTTATTCTAATTATACCCATCAATTCAATCGCTACCCACCCACCTTGTGGTCCACCCCCCATTGTTTTCTTAATCACAATACATATCCTTATACCTAAATATCAACCGAAGACAATTAATTGCCTATACAATTACTTAATAAATATCTGCCAAGTCAGTGTTCAACGTTCGAAGGCATCGACAATAAATACGAACAACGTCAAAAGTACAAAAGCGGGTCATAAATATTTACGATATCGAAAAGAATCTCAACAACAACAACAACGATAACAATAACAAATCTAATAACAATTGCAAAGTCATTTGATTGCTGCTACTGTGGCTGCGGGTGACTGTTAACGCGCTACTGTGGCGTGGGTGAGGTGTAATATACTCGCATCTGTGGAGGGAGGGAGTTTGAGCTAAAATATATGCAAACGAACTTTTCCCAAACTAACACCATTTGTTTTTGAAGTATTCGCTGTTTTTATATTAAAGTCTTTGGCAAGAATAGCGGTAAAGTGCGGTATGTGTACTGCAGATATATTTGAAATGTGTTATTGTCGAGGTGAGTGTAGGGATGACGTGTCTTGAAAAATGTTTTTTAAAAAAATCCACGCTAGTTGGTAGACCTTGGAAAAATATTTTTTAAAAAAATTTACGCCAGTTGGTAGACCTTGGAAAAATTATTTTTTAAACAAATCACGCCTTTCGGTAGACCTTCTCGCCCTTTGGTAGTTATTCACCACACTGTGGTACAGGGTATTATGTCTTTGTGCATATGTTTGTAAATGGCAAAAGGAATCGAGATAGACCCATGGTTCCTTTTGAGAATATGCATAGAATCACTTTCTGAGTCGATTTACGCATGTCCGTCTATCCGTCCGTCTGACCATCCATCCATGTATTTTTGTGAACAAAGTACAGGTCGCATTTATGATCCGATTTGGATGAAATTTGACATAGGTCACTTATTTGGCCCAAGGACGAACCCTATTCAAATTGGGAAAAATCGGTTCAGATTTAGATATAGCTCTCATATATATTTTCGTCCGATTTAATGTAAGTGGTCCACCAAAGACCCTATATATCTTTCGATTTGCACGAAATTTGGCACAGCGTAATGAATTAGGTCTAGGATGATTTTTGTTAAGTTTCCTGAAAATCGGTTCAGATTTAGATATAGCTCCCATATATATCTTCGTCCGATTTAAGGTAAATGGTGTACCAAAGTCCCTATATATCTTTTGATTTGCCCGAAATTTAGCATAGCCTATTGAATTGGGTCTAGAATGATGAGTGTTAAGTTTACTGAAAATCGGTTAAGATTTAGATATAGCTCCCATATATATTTTCGTCCGATTTAAGGTAAATGGTGTACCATAGTCCATATATATATCTTTCGGTTTGCACGAAATTTAGCAGAGCGTAATGAATTAGGTCTAGTATGATGTGTGCTAAGTTTCGTAAAAATCGGTTCAGATTTAGATATAGCTCACATATATATTTTCGTCCGATTTAATGTAAATTGTTCACCAAAGTCCCTATATATTATTCGATTTGCACGAAATTTGGGATAACGTACTGAATTGAGTCTAGAATGATGTGTGTTATGTTTCGTGAAAATCGGTTCAGATTTAGATATAGCTTCTATATCTGACCAAATGAAAAATTTAGTATCGGTTGCAGAATGACAAGTTTATGGATCCAATTTCATTTTACTAGTTCTTCAAATATGCGACGTCTGTTAGGATTCATCTGTTGAATATACCCAAAGTGGTGAAGGGTATCATATAGTCGGCCCGTCGGAATTTACTACTTTCCTTACTAGTTTTTTTTCAATGTTTTCAAAATTTTGCGTTTGAATGATATTAGAAAAACATTTTTTCCAAATCCCAAAAATTGGGATTTTTATAATTTTTGTTTCTTTTGGAAATATGGGCATGTCCTGCAATTTGTTGGTGATATATCATTTTGTGTGTTTCTTCCCCCTTCAAAAAAAGTTTTTTTCTTTGCTGCCGTTTTGTTTTGTTATTGTTGTTTACCTTCCCTTCTTGAATCTGAAGTCATGTCTGAGAGTGTGATTGAACAGGGAAGTTGAAGTGGTGTAAGTGCAAAAAGTATTTGGCCTAAATCAACACGCGATTCTGTGTACATTTTCCTGTCGTTGCTGTCAAGAAGTACCGAAAATGTATTTCTATGGAAAATATAAAGCCAAAACAAATCTGGCATTTACATGTTAGAGTGACAGTGACCGGCCAATATATTATGATGGATAATATATTTAAAGAAACAAATTTTTTCAAAACTACCGAAGCCTCTGAAAATGTGCCTTTAAGTATCATTAAAGTAATCTTTAAAAGGTTCACTGGGGTATTAATATCCTTGCCAAGTACTGTTAGCAATTTAGGTGTCTTTGTGTAAATAGAACAACTCCACAGACCCATATTTACAAAATCAGGCGGTTGTGAGTTCGTAAATCGTACAAAAAGTGAAACATCAAAAGAACAAAATGAACAGCAAAGCCAAACGAATATTGGTGGAAAATGGGTAAGAAAGTCAAGAGCCTTTAACACCAACATGTTGGCTTAGATGGTGTATTGGTAGGATAGGAGCCTCCTTGGTACTCCTTACCCAGATTTGTGTTGGCACATTTGTTCTGGACGGGATACATAGGGTTGCCATCATAATACAACTTTAGCTATAATTTTTAACCGGGTATGAAACATAAATATGGAGGACAATAAATTTAAAAATAGGTAAATAAATAAATTTAAAAATCTTTCCTGGCCCCTGGCAACCCTAGGCATTGTAAAATGTTTGTTTTATTTGTATTTTTTTTTCGATTTTCCCTTGCAAATGTAAATTTTGCGCTTTGTTGAATTGCGTAGAGGTCTGTGGTGTTAACTTCAGTGATTTATTTGTTTTGTTTGGCGAAGAACTTTTGCCATTTTGGGCTGGCTTTTATTTGATATACACTCCACAACAACACCAGCAACACCATGAATGGTAAGAGCGTCAATGGCAACAACAACAAACACTGGCGAAAAATGCGCAATTATTAACTTTGTTTCGAAATTGTTTGCACTCTCAAAAAGTGTCGCATATATAAAAACCAAAAAAAAAAATTAAGAACAAAGTACAAATTCAAATCGAAATGACAATAAGGTGGGTAAGGAAAAAATATTTTTTTTAAATCCACGTCTTATTGGAAAACCAAACTTCCGTAGACCTTTTTCCAAACAATTTGTGGTGTTTCAATTTTTGGTTTTAAATTTTATAAAAAAAATACAACCAGTCGGGAAAGTAGTAAAGTCGGGCGGGGCCGACTATATGATAACCTTCACCACTTTGGGTATATTCAACAGATGAATCCTAACAGACGTCGCATTTTTAAAGGACCAGTAAAATGAAATTGGATCCATAAACATGTCATTCTGCAACCGATACGAAATTTTTCATTTGATAGAGGCTATATCTAAATCTGAACCGATTTTCAGGGAACTTAACACACATCATCTCAAATTTCGTGCAAATCGAACGATATATAGGAACTTTGGTGCACCATTTACATTAAATCGTACGATAATATATATTGGAGCTATATCTAAATCGGAACCGATTTTCAGGAAACTTAACACACATCATTCATGACCTAATTCATTACGCTGTGCCAGATTTCGTGCAAATTGAAAGATATATAGGGACTTTGCTGCACCATTTACATTAAATCGGACGAAAATATATATGGGAGCTATATCTAAATCTGAACCAAATTTCAGGAAACTTAGCACACATCATTCTATATCTAATTCATTACGCTGTGCCAAATTTCGTGCAAATCGAATGATATATAAGGTCTTTGGTGCACCATTTACACTAAATCGGTCGAAAATATATATGGGAGCTATATCTAAATCTGAACCGATTTTCAGGAAACTTAAGACACATCATTCTAGACCTAATTCATTACGCTGTGCCAAATTTCGTGCAAATCGAATGATATATAAGACTTTGGTGCGCCATTTACATTTAATCGAACGAAAATATATATGGGACCTCTATCTAAATCTAACCCGATTTTCTCGAAACTTGACACATATCATTCTGGACCTAATTCAGTACTCTATGCCAAGTTTCGTGCAAATCGAAAGATATATAGGGACTTTAGTGCCCCATTTAACTTAAATCGGATGAAATCGGAAAACAAGTCTGACCCGATTTTTTTCAATTTCGATAGGGTTCGTCCTTGGGCCAAACAAGTGACTTGTGCCAAATTTCATACAAATCGGATGATAAATGCGACCTGTACTTTGTTTACAATTTAACATCTATAGATGGACGGACGGACGGACATGTATAAATCGACTCAGAAAGTGATTCTATGGATATTCTCAAAAGGAACCATGTGTCTATCTCGTTTCCTTTAGCCTGTTACAAACATATGCACAAAGACATAATACCCTGTACCACAGTGTGATGAAGGGTATAAATATTCTTTTAAAATCCACTCCTATAGGCTATAAAAAATATTTTTTTTTTTTAAATCCACAACTTGTTTAGGTTAGTAGATTTTTTTTAATTCATTAGAAAATTACAAAAAAAAAATTACATATGTATATAGCCTTACACTATTCACAATAATTTATTTAACTTATTTTTTCCCTAGGAGAATTAAACTAAAAATTTCATTCACATCAAAGTAACCTTAACGATCTAATGTTGAACTTTTCGAGGATGAAGACGATGACGTCGATGATTTTTCCAACAATGACTTGAGTATTTCCCTTGCTTCCCGCTTCAATATTTTGCCATTAATATTCTGCGGTAATTTATCAACAAAAAATGCACCGTTGTGTAGCTGTTTGTGATCTTCCGTCAAACGATTGCGAACATGATCCACAATTGCCTGTGTTGTTAAATTACTGCCACTTTTCTTCAGAACCAAAGCACCCGCCACATCACCATGACGTTCATCGAAGACGCCCACCACACAACAATCAGCCACATCGGGTAATTCTCGGATCACATTTTCAATCTCTCCCGGCCAATATTGCATGCGATTATATTTCAAAATATCCTTAATACGATCGACAATATAGAGGTCACCCTCATCATCGACATAACCCAAATCACCGGTATGATACCATCCCTGAGAATCCATCATGCGTTGTGTCTCCTTAGGATTGCCATAGTAACCCGACCACGTGCAATTGGGTAGACGTACCAGAATCTCTCCCGTTTCATTGGGGCCCAAGAATTTGCCCTCTTCATCGATAATACGCATCTGGACATTGGGTAGCAGCTGGCCCACAGAATTATTACGTTGAACCCCAAGATTTATGGACACTCCACCGATTTCCGTCAGACCATATCCAATACATATCAGACATTGGGTCATAACACGTTGGACCTTTTCCACCAGCTGTTTGGAGACATAACCACCACCACAGGAAACCATTTTAAAGCTGGCCATATTTTCTTTGGTAAATGTTGGGCAATCGAGTAGTTCGACAAATTGTATGGGACTCAAGATGCCATTGGAGATTTTATATTTTTTCACCATCTTGACAAATTCAGCAGGATTGAAGGGTTTACGATTGATAATGCGAGTAACACCGGAATACAGGTTTTGCATGAGGGAAAAGAGGCCACTGGCCCAATCCATGCCACTGGACGTGTAGAAGACTTCATCGATATTGGAGAAACTGGAAATAAAGAAGAAGAGCAAAAATGGTATACCGTTAGAAAACTATTTTTAAAACAATCCCAAAGTAGTAAAGTCAGACAGGACCGACTATATGATACCCTTCACCACTTTGGGTATATTCTACATATATGTCCTAACAGACGTCGCGTCTTTGTTATATATCTATATCTGAATCGATTTCAGGGAAACATTCTAGACTTAATTCAGTACGCCATGCCAAAATTCGTCCAAATGAAAAGATTTTCAAGGTCTTTGGTGCACCATTTTCCTAAAATCCGGCGAAACTATATATGGGAGCCATATCTAAATCTGAACCGATTTTCATGAAACTTAGCAAATATTATTGTATACAGAATTCAATACGCTCTGCCAAATTTCGTGCAATTCGAAAGATATATAGGGACTTTGGAACACCATTTACCTTAAATCGGACGGAAATATATATGGGAGCTATATCTAAATCTGAACCGATTTTCATGAAACTTAGCACACATTATTATAGACACAATTTAATATGCTATGCCATATTTCGTGCAAATCAAAAGATATATAGGGGCATTGGTATACCATTTACCTTAAATCGGACGAAGATATATATGGGAGCTATATCTAAATCTGAACCGATTTTCACGAAATTTAGCACACGTCATTCTATACTTTATTCAGTACGCTATGACAAATTTTGTGCAAATCAAAATATTTTCAGGGACTTTAGTGGACTATTTTCATAAAATCGGGCTAAACTATATATGGGAGCTATATCTAAATCTGAACCGATTTTCACGAAACTTAACACACATCATTCTAGATCTTATTCATTACGCTGTGCCAAATTTCGTCCAAATCGAAAGATATATAGGGACTTTGGTACACCCCTTACCTTAAATCGGACGGAAATATATATGGGAGCTATATCTAAATCTGAACCGATTTTCATGAAACTTAGCACACATCATTCTAGACTTAATTCAGTACGCTATGCCAAGTTTCGGGCAAATCGAAAACTTACCCATTTTCCAACATAATTTTCGGTGCCGAAACTGTAACAGCTTTCGATAATCCTGTTGTGCCTGAAGAGCTCAGAATCACCACAGTTTGGTCAGCACCCAGAATTGGTTTCTCTGGCCTAAAAACAAAATTATAAAATGTTATTATTTTTAGTCAAGCAGTTTCCACCCTCTCTTTACTTACTGATAAAAACGTTCCATTTTATTTGGTGCCAATAGATCCATTACCGTCGGCACGCCCTCAATGTGATCGGTCAGTGTGTAGATGGTCGGATTAAATGATTTGGTTATTTTGCGTATTTTCTCATAATCGCAGCCATCGCAGAAAATAATTTTTGGTTTGGTAATGCCAAAGCTGTGGGTGATGGCGGCTAAAATTAATTTGGAAATATTTTCATTATCATGGATTTTTTATAAAAAAACATATATTTTTTTAATTTACCAACCTTCTGTATAATTCGGATTTACAGCATGCAGGGGATTCCCATTGAAGAGACAGCCCAAAATAACCGATACCAGTTTGATGGTATTGCGGGCGGCTATGCCCACAATGTCTTCATAACGCATGCGTTGGCTCTTCAAATGCAGGGCGATGCGTGTTCCCCAGGTTAGAAGTTCTCCACTGGTGGCCGAGGTTTCATCGAAGGCATCAATCTGTAATCCAAAACAAAAAAAAAAAAAAAAAAAATTAAATTTATTTTTTTTTCTTAAAGGGTATTTTTTTAAAGTTCCGCAGGTTGTTATTTTTATTCTTCAAATTGAATTTTTCTTTCTTACCACCAACACATTATGCGGATTCAATCTCATTTGACTGAAAATAATTCTGCCAATCGAATGCTGTTCAATATTATGTAGGCATGGCACGGTGGGGCCTTTCCACATTTTATTGCGCTCATCGTATATAGTTTTAAGCTCGGACATTTCAGCGTCTGTTGGGTCGGTATTGACTTTGTGCTGGAGTTATGGAAACTGATTTCCAACGGCGAAGACATGTCTGAGGAAACTTTTTCTTTTTTGATATCTAATCGGTTTCCGAACTTATCAATATTTAAATCTTAGTATTATTTTGTTTCATTTTTCGAGAGTAGTTTGTATTAATACGTTGTGTTATTAGATTTTACCACGTCATTATCAAGATCACGTGTTTATTTAATGATTACTATTTTTCGCGTTCGTTATCACTGAGCCGACCCACACCGGTGAGAATCGATTTGGTTATGACTTAGCACTTTGTTTATTTTTGCCAAGAAATAGTGACATTTATATTAAAATTAACGAATAAAAAAACAACACGAGTGTTAACTTCGCTAGGGGTGCTCGAAGGGGATTTTTTTTTTTTTCAAAACTGATAAATGCCAATTCGCAGGTGGGCATTATTTTCTAGGTTGACCACAACTATCAGTTTAATGGTTTTTATAATTTGGGCAGAGAATCAAAATCAAATTGTTTATACTTCGATTATGATGGACGTCATAAATATAAAATAGTTTTAAAATATTTTTTCAAGGTCAAATGTAGGCGTGGATGTTGTAAAAATATTAAAAAAGCCACGCCTACTATAGACCTTGAACAAATATTTTTAAAAAATCCACTCCTTGAAAAAATGTAATTTTTAGTATTTTTTTATTATTTTGTTTCAAATATTGCAACCAATTTAATGTAAATTTTTTTCATGTAGGAGAACTCGAAACAAAATGTGAAGTGCTCTCTGTAAAATGTGAAATATTGGCTAACAAACAATTTGAAATGGGACTCCATGTGTTATATTCTACACTGACCTTCGACAATGTGGAAACATATTTATGTGTGTGTGAGTGGCTGTGTTCGGAAGTGAAAATAAACTTGGTCTGTAAATTTTCCGACACAACATTGAGGAAAAATATTGAAAAACAAAACAGCAAAAAAAATATAAATATATTTATTCAAATAGCAAGGGTGTTAAGTTTCCTAAATCCACAGACATGATTGCTAGATTTACTCGGGGATATGGAAGTGACAGGAATATTTCACAAACAAAATTTAGGGTAATGTTACAAATAAAGAAGTAAAATGTGGTGATGTGAGAGTTGTTATTTCAAATCGAGATTAAAATAAACATAAAAAACTAAATTTTTAAATAATTTAATAATCCCCACAAAAAGCATTCACATCTGTCTCCTCTCTCTCTCTCTCACACACACAGATGATATGCAATATTTTCCAACTTTTGTTTTTGTTGCTGTAAAGTTTACAATTTAAAATCTAATTTATTTCCAGTTTTGTTTTATAAAGTGACTTTGATCCCTGAATCTGTGCAAAGCTTACAATTAGTTGAATGAGCCACAAAGTATGCTATAACATATTTTCTGAATTTTCTCTCTCTCTATCTCCATCTTCTTTTTTAATTTGTAAGAGAGGATTTTTTTGTATTCGGAATTTATGGTTATCCCCAACAAAGTCATAATCATCATCAAAATCACCTCCCATCCTCATCTGGGACCTCGATTACAATGTCATCATAATTTTTGTGGGTGGCTGGAGCCATTGTGGCATTACTTTTTGAATTCATTTTTAAGAAATATATAGAACAATAATATATAGAACAAACACATAAAGGGTGGAGGGTGCAAATGTTGCCAATGAACAACAATAAGGATTGACCTGTAGAAGGCGCGGATTTTTAAAGAATATTTTTCCTGCGACTATACAAGGCGTGGATTTTTTAAAGAATATTTTTCCTGCGACTATACAAGGCGTGGATTTTTTAAAGAATATTTTTCCTGCGACTATACAAGGCGTGGATTTTTTAAAGAATATTTTTTCGAAGACTACACACGTCGTGGATATTTTAAAGAATATTTTTTCGAAGCCTTTACAAGACGCTGATTTTTTAATGAATATTTTTACCAGGCCTATATAAGGCGTGGATTTTTTAAAGAATATTTTTTTGAAGACTAGACTATACAAGGCATGGATTTTTGGATATTTTAAAGAATATTTTTTCGAAGACTAGACTATACAAGGCATGGATTTTTGGATATTTTAAAGAATATTTTTTCGAAGTCTACACACGTCGTAGATATTTTAAAGAATATTTTTTCGAAGCCTTTACAAGACGTGAATTTTTTAATGAAAAATTTTCCCAGGGTTATATAAGGCGTGGATTTTTTAATGAATATTTTTTCCAGGCCTATATAAGAGGAATAAGTCTCCTTCCCATCGCATATAAAGTTCTATCCAGCGTACTGTGTGAATGACTGAGGCAAATAGTCAATGACATTATTGGACCATACCTATGCGGCTTCAGACCTGGCAAATTCACCATTGACCAGATTTTCACTCTGCGCCAAATCCTGGAAAAAAACCCACAAAAAACACATCGACACATCCTATTCGTTCAGAGGTGTTTAAAGCCATGTCTGCGTTTAGCATTCCTGCAAAATTAATTCGGCTATGCAGGATAACTTTAACTGGCACAAGATCAACAGTTAAAGTCGAAAAGGACCTCTCGGAGCCCTTTAATACCGAACGAGGATTCGGACAAGGTCACAGTTTGTCGTGTGACCTTTTTAACATCCTGCTGGAAAAGGTCATATGAGAGGCAAAAGTGAACAGAAATGGCACTCTGTACACCAAACAACACATGTTACTCGCCTACGCCGATGACATCGACATAATGGGTCGAACACTGAGAAAGGTAACAGCCACCTTTGAACAAATTGAGAAGGAATCTGCCAAAGTGGGTCTGGCAGATTCCTTTGACGGTATCAAAGATTTTATATACCTTGGTACTGCCATAAACAAAACGAATGACATCAGTTTTGAAATTCGGAGAAGGATAGTGATGGCCAACAGATGCTACTATGGTCTAAGCAAACAACACAAAAGCAAGGCCACCTCCCGCCAAACCAAACTTACACTCTACCAGACGCTGATACTACCCTGCTGTTATATGGATCTGAAGCATGGGTACTTGCGCAAGCAGATGAGGCAGCTGTTGGAGTGTTAGAGAGAAAAATTCTCCGAAAGATCTATGGGCCGATCTACGTTGATGGTGAATATCGTCGTCGAATGAACCATGAGTTGTAATAGCTATTCTCGGACATCGACATTGTTAGACCTGTGGAGCTGCAGTGACTACGTTGGCCAGGTCATGTTGTGAGAATGGATGAAGATGTCCCAGCCCAAAAGGTATATACAAGCGAACCAGCTGATGGTTCAAGCAAAAGGGGGTGGCCAAGAATACGATGGAAAGATCAAGTCGAAGAAAACATTGCCGAAAATGGTCTTTCAAATTGGAAAAACTGCGCAAAAGTCCGACGCGCCTTGAAATCTTTTCTAAATCTTTTATACGCTTCACAACACTGTGGTACAGGGTATTATGTATTTGTGCATATGTTTGTAACAGGGAAAAGGAAACGAGATAGACACATGGTTCCTTTTGAGAATATGCATAGAATCACTTTCTGAGTCGATTTATGCATGTCCGTCCGTCCGTCTGTAGATGTTATATTGTAAACAAAGTACAGGTCGCATTTATCGTCCGATTTGGATGAAATTTGGCACAGGTCCCTAATTTGGCCCAAGGACGAACCCTATTGAAATTGGGAAAAATCGGTTCAGATTAAGATATAGCTCCCATATATATTTTCGTCCGAATTAAAGTAAATGGGGCACCAAAGTCCCTAAATATCTTTCGATTTGCACGAAATGTGGCACAGAGCACTGAATTAGGTCCAAAATGATGTGTGCCAAATTTCGAGGAAATCGGTTCAGATTTAGATATAGCTCTCATATATAGCTTCGTCCGATTTAAGGTAAATGGTGTACCAAAGTCCCTATATATCTTTCGATTTGCACGAATTTTGTCATAGCGTAATGAATTAGGACTAGAATGATGTATGCAAAGTTTCGTGAAAATTGGTTCAGATTTTGATATAGCTCCTATATATATCTTCGCCCGATTTTAGGTAAATAGTTCACTAAAGTCCGTATATATCTTTCGATTTGCACGAAATTTGTCATAGCGTACTGAATTAGGACTAGAATGACGTGTGCTAAGTTTTGTGAAAATCGGTTCAGATTTAGATTTAGCTCCCATATTTTCGTCCGATTCTATATAATTGGTGCACCAAAGTCCCTATATATCTTTCGATTTCCACGAATTTTGGTATAGAGTACTGAATCAAGTCTAGAATGATGTTGCTAAGCCGATTGACACAACGTACTAAAGTAGTATAAATTGGTCTCTGGCAAGTTTCCCTGAAATCGGTGCAGATATAGATATATAACAAACACGCTACGTCTGTTAGGATACATATGTAGAATATAGCCAAAGTGGTGAAGGGTGTCATATAGGCGGCCCAGTCCGACTTTACTACTTTCCCTACTGTTTAATCCTTCCTTTTGTGCTGAGAACCAAAACTTGCCACCCTTTAATATAGACATTGCCCAAGGCTATTTGGATATAAAATCACGTAAAATAACATTTAGTTTTTAGTACTGAACGACATCTGCAAATAATAGGCTATGAAAGAATGCAACATTTCGGATGTTGCTTCAGTTTGCATGGCATTTAACTAGATTTTTATTCAGGAGAAAATGTTGTTTTTATTATTTTGAACTCTTATTGTAATTTCTATGCCCTCAACATCAAATATTCGTTTATGGCATTC